TTCTCAGATACAGATTACATTCAACTGATAGCACATCTAATTTTTTTTCGTAGACACATTACAGACACAGACACATTCACAAGGCATGATGAAATTAATAGACATTCTATTTAAAACCATTCACACTCATAACTTGTCAGTGTTGCCAATGTTTCTGTCTGTCATGCAGTGAGTACTGACATCATGACAAGCTAATTAACTGCAAAAAAGAACTGTGTGCTTGAAAATGGAATATGTATTAAATCATACTGCCACCAGGTGGCACTAGTTTGTAAAGTAACATTAATTGCATATTAATTATCTATTGTTTATTAGATAAGCAATCTATTTATTCTTTGTATCTAATCAAGCTAGGGTCAAGCTGCAATGTATTATTCTGGTAGTTAAGTCAATGATAAAAATGCATTACATTTAAAACTAGAGAAGCAATCTATTAATTTCCTATTAAAGAATACCTGTCCACTTCATAAACTCAGCTTTATCTGACATATCTAATTGTTTTAATAAATGTTTTCCATATTAATTATCCCCTTCAAGTATAATCCCTTAGTTATCTATTTATTTCAAACATTGGATTATTAAGAGTCTCCTTGACTCCATACTATTAACTGAAACGGCCTACACTATTAAAACAACCCACATGTGAAATAAAAGCTGTTACGAACCAGCCTGAAAATAATTTTCATACCAGCTTTTTTGATAGGTTTACTCATCCCTTTACCTAATGAACATGTTTGTAAAATCCACAACTCTTTGTCCCGTATGCCTGACGAACATTGTTATAAGCAAATTACTTTGCACCTGGAAGTCAGCATAGACAAAGTATACGGTAAAACAGTGTTTCTCTCCCTCCTCTTCATTACCAATGCTTGCCTTGGCTTTGCTTTGTCTGGACTGGAGTATGATGTGATTTGATAAATGTTTAATAGAATTGAAAAAAGAGCATCTCATGATAAAGGTTAACACAAGTTATAAATTATTTTCAGAGTTTTTTTTTTAAATGGTGAAAAATCCAGAAAAGTGATGTCTCCCCTTGAAATGTATGATAGCACTTTGCATTAAGTGGATAGACTACATTGAGTTAATACGCCAAGCAACCAATCAAAATACAGCTTAAATTATGTTTTTCCATTCCATTCTTTCCTGTTTCTCTCACTATAGCTCTCGTTATCGCTCTCTAAAATGCAGGTCTTGTAGTGCAATAAAAAGCATGTTTCATAACTTCTACATATGTATGTGATCTTATCTTTTTGTGTTATATATTATGAAAGCCATTGGTATAGCATAGTTAACATCACAGATGATTCAAATTCAGTTTCAATCTGCTCAAACAATGTATTTATTTTAATAATATGCTAGGTTAGCCTGTGAGGTTATGAATTTAAATGCCTAATGTTTAAAGTTTATGGTATATTCTTACAACAGAGCGGTGTTCGTTCCTTGGCTATGCCTTTGAATTAATTGTTAATGAAGTCTGTGGGAATAAATAAAGATGTCACTATTCTATTATGCTAACAAACATTTTCTGAGACATGTTAAGTATAACAAAATTGTAGATACCTTAAAGGAGCACTCCCACTGTCCATGAAGTTTTTTGGGGGGCAATAGTCCCTGGTAGCCATCTAACCTCCGCGGGTTAAACCATAGGCCTGCACAGAACATTTCATTAGGGTGTATGCCTGGGAATTCTTTCCCTCTGTTATTATTTAAATTTATATAATTTGAAGAGTTATGAAATAAACACTTTAAGCACCATTGCCACTGCACCCTGCTTTAGTGGTCATGGTACAACGTGTGCCCTGGAGCTCACTTCCAAAGTAAGTAGCCAAACCATTTAATAACAGTCTGACAACTTACTTGTATCCTGCAGCTGCCTGTCCTGCAAAAAGTATCTGTTAGCTCAACAGAGTTAAATCCTGCTGTGCACAGCTGACTCATTGGCTGCGAGCATTAGCTCAGAGCTCTGAGACAATAAACTAAGATCTGCACCACTGGACTAGCTCAAAGGAAAGACCTTCTGGCTGCGGAGGAGAAGGTGACCCCAGTTATGTTGTCAAATAGTTCACAAAAGGTTTGACTACTTAAATATCTAAATCCTGGCATTGAAAAAAGTTATGACATTTATTACAAAATATTATCTTATATCAGAACATGCTGCATGGCCAGAACTATTTAAGTGGCAAGAGCTTCCAACAACATGGGAGGCAACAGTGGATGTCTGGCCAGACACAGGAAAGTTGCCAAACTGTTCTTGAATGGTTTGACTACTTACTCTGGGAGGGTGCCACAGTAATACTGACACCATAATCACTTTAGCAGGCAGTGGTTGTTATGTTGCCTGAAGTGTTCTGTTAAAAATCTGTGTGTATGGTGGCAGTGGGTATATTGTGTGTGTGTGTGGGGAGTGGGGGTTGTCTGTGTTGTTTAGGTGTAATGGGGATTTAAATAGCCATGTGTGTTGTGACTGTGTATGGATGCTGCATGTGTATGTGCTGTGACGGTAAGTGTGTTGTTTAGACATAGAATGGCTATAAGTGTGGTAACTGTATGCACTTTGTGTGTTGCTGCTCTGTATGGCTAACTGAGTGTGTGTTTGAGGTGACAGCATGTGTGTTGTGTGTGTAGGGTGAAGGTGGGTTATTTAGTTTTAGGGTGTCTGTAAGACTTTAGTTGCGAGTGATTTGTGTTTCTGTGTATGGGTACAGTGAGGGATATGTGTGCATAACTGTGAATGGTGTGTTTGGCTGTTTGTGGGTAGCTGTGATTGATGTGCGTTACTGTGTGGAAATCTGTGAGCCATGGATAGTGTGTTGAGTGTAGTTAGCTGTAAATAATGTATGTGGTTGTATGTAGGTAGCTGTTGCTAATGTGTGTTGCTGTTTGTGTAGTTATAAGTGTTGTGGCTGTTGTGTGGTTAGCTGTTTGTGACGTGTGTGTGTAGCTGTGAGTGATGTGTGTAGCTGTGTGTAGCAGTGAGGAGTGAGTGGCTGTGTGTGGTTATTTAAGTGTGTGAATGTGGAAAGCCCGTACTTGTTCCAGCTTACCCACAATTTACAATAAACGTTAAAAAATCCCGATGGCACACTGAGGCTTGTGATAAAGCTCCCTTGTGGTCCTGTGAAAGAAGCTTGTGGTCTTCACCTTCAGTAAGTTCAGATCATTGTAAATTCTCCTTAATGTTTGGGTCCGCGAGGGTGATCTGATACCTGTGTCAGTCTTCCTCTGGCTGTTACATAGTCCAGAAATGTTTGTATTGGCAGCCAGAGAAAGGCTGAGAGTGTCAGATTGCCAAAGGCCAGAGGAAGATACAGAGAGCACCAGCCCCCAGGGGAGAAAATTCAAATGTAAGATAGCCCCCAGTGACTCCATCCTCTATAACAACTTCATTGACATAAAGTTGTTAAGGGGACTGAAGTCAGGAGTGTATATCAGTTCTTATCTGTTATACATCCTGAAGTAGTTAAAGGGACACTCCAGGCACCCAGACCACTTCTGCCCATTGGAGTGGTCTGGGTGCCAACTCCCACTACCCTTAAACCTGCAACTGTAAATATTGCAGTTTTCATAAACTGCAATATTAACCTTGCAAGGTTACCTCCTCCTCTAATGGCTGGCTACTAAACAGCCACTAGAGGGCACTTCCTGGTTCATAGCAAAGATTTTCTGTGCTATAGCGTTGCTGGACGCTAAAATCCCCATTGGCAAGCATTGTAAGCATGCGCATTAAGTCTCACCCTGCCGGCGGCCGCGCATGCACAATTGGTCTCCCTCGCCGGATGACATCGTCAGGGAGGAGCGTGGGCGGACCCTGAACCAGCGCCGAGGTTAAACCTGGGATGGGGGGGTGAGAGGGAGAGGGGACCTACAGTGCCAGGAAAATGGTTTGTTTTCCTGGCACTGGAGTGTCCCTTTAACTACAGCAAACATTTCTCCATTGGTTGCTAATAATATTTCTTTGAAGGCAGCACTTTCCAAACCACAGTAAATTAGCAAGTTTTTGATGGTAAGTTTATTTTTCTATCCTATGTCAAATGAATCCAAAACTGCAAAATGTTCCAGCCATAGCAAGCCATTTATAATGGCTATCTATTTAAAAATAGGACCACTTTTTCTTTCATAAATATTCAGATGTATGCTGTTTCTATGTAATGACTACATAACACTAACTTACATGGAGTGCCATAAAAATGAGCTCATTTTACTCCATTCTGCTTGGCTGCTTGTATTTATGTTAAACGGACAGACAAATAAACTGCTTGATAGACAGAACCCGAATTTATTTATCCCTGCTGACCTTGCGTCACACCACTTGTGGCTCTGCTACACTCCACTGCGTATAATTTACTCAACACCAGAGGAGACCCATAAAGATATTTTTTTTAATATATTTTTCATAACAAAGGTGAACTATACTATACTTTAAAAAGATAGAAGAAAACAATAGATAAAACAAAAAGTATAAGGATATAAGTGTAATAGATAAAGCAAAACTATACATAAAAACAACAGACATACCAGGGTAAAATATAAAATAAATAGTCCCACTGTTCTTCTGATGATTTTAAATCCTATCTGGTTCTCATAAGGAGCATATGCAGAAAAAAAAGACGATACTGATTGTGTAGTATGTAACACAAAAAGTGAAAAATACAACATAAAGTGCCCCTCTATTCCTAACTACTACACCCATTAAAGGCTCTTCCTTGGCACTGACCAAGTAAAATTTGGTCACATGATGTGGAAGCCCCTGTAGAAAAGCATTGATTAAATGCTTGCTCGTATGCGAATCTGGTACCCAATATTCCTCTAGGAGGAGAATCGGATTGGACATTGGTGAAGAAGGCAAGGACATTGCAGGAGGCAGAGAGATAAGCAGCGCAGAGAGAGCCTTAATGCTGGACAAAAGTAAGTATCATTAAGAGAGTATGTGTGAGTGTGCACTACATTGTTTATATATATCATTAAGATGTGTGAGTGTGCACTACATTGTTTATATATATATCATTAAGAGAGTATGTGTGAGTGTGCACTACATTGTATATATATAATGTAGTGCACACTTACACATACTCTCTTAATGATACTTGCAGGGTCCAGCATTGAGGCTCTCTATATATAGTATGTTGCATAGAATTTATACACAGCTTTTAATACATAATAAACACAATAAACATATACATACATATACAGTGAGGGAAAAAAGAATTTGATAACCTGTTAATTTTAAACGTTGTCTACTGACAAGGAAATGATCAGTCTATAATTTTTATGGTAGGTGTATTTTAACTGTGAGAGACAGAATAACAAAAAAAAAAAAATCCAAAAAAATCGCATGTCAAAAAAGTTCTAAATTGATTTGCATGTCAATGAGTGATGGGAGTGCTCCGAATCTTAGCTCGTTACCTGTATAAAAGATACCTGTCCACAGAAGCGATCAATCAGATTCCAAACTCTCCACCATGGCCAAGACCAAAGAGCTGTCCAAGGATGTCACACAAGGCTGGAATGGGCTACAAGACCATCACCAAGCAGTTTGGTCAGTAGGTGACAACAGTTGGTGTGATTATTCGAAAATAGAAGAAACACAAAATAACTGTCAGTCTCCCTCAGTCTGGTGCACCATGCAAGATCTCACCTCGTGGAGTTTTAATGATCATGAGAACGGTGAGGATCAGCCTAGAACTACACAGGAGGATCTTGTTAATGATCTCAAGGCAGCTGGGACCATAGTCACCAAGAAAACAATTGGTAACACATTACACCATGAAGGAATAAAATCCTGCAGCGCCCGCAAGGTCCCCCTGCTCAAGAAAGCACATGTAATAGCCCAGTAATAAGGTGTACAGTTTTGGGTGTATACTTGTAAATACTTGCAACCTCTGAATGAGTCAGAGGAGAACTGGGTGAAAGTGTTATGGTCAGATGAGACCAAAATCGAGCTCACTGGCATCAACTCAACTTGCCGTGTTTGGAGGGGGGGAATGCTGCCTATGACACCAAGAACACCATCCCCACTGTCAAACATGGAGGTGGAAACATTTTGCTTTGGGGGTGTTTTTCTGCTAAGAGGACAGGACAACTGCACCGCATCAAAGGGAAGATGGACAGGGACATGTACCGTCAAATCTTCGGTGAGAACCTCCTTCCCTCAGCCAGGGCATTAAAAATGGGTTGTGGATGGGTATTCCAGAATGACAAGGATCCAAAACACACCAAGGCAACAAGGGAGTTGCTCAAGAAGAAGCACTTTAAGGTCCTGGAGTGGCCTAGCCAGTCTCCAGACCTTAATCCCTTAATAAATCTGTGGAGGGAGCTGAAGGTTCGAGTTGCCAAACGTCAGCCTCGAAACCTTAATGACTTGGAGAGGATCTTCAAAGAGGAGTGGGACAAAATCCCTTCTAAGATGTGTGCAAACCTGGTAGGTGTCGCTGTTTGTGTGGAGAGAGGCAGGGATAAGAAGTTACAGCATCTCCCTCCCTGCCTCTCTACTCACTGATCTGCAGGGGAGCAGCTCTGCATAGAGAGTCCAGACAGCAGCTCCGAGCCTGCGAGACATGAGCATGGTGAGAGATTTGGGGACACTGGGAGACATAGGGACACTGGGGAACATGGGGATCCTGAGACACTAGGGACACAGTGGCCCCATGTGTCCCAGTGGCCCATAGCCTCTAAGTGTCCCCATGTCTCCCAGCCAGTGTCCCTAGTGTCTCAGTGTCCTTAGTGTCTCAGTGTCCCCATGTCTCTCAGTGTCCCAATGTCTCTCAGTGTCCCAATGTCTCTAAGTGTCCCCTAGTGTCCTAGTGACATCGGGACACTGTGAGACATGGGGACACAGACTCTAAGGGACACTGGGAGACATGGGGATACAAACACTAGGGGACACTGGGCGACATGGGGACACTGAGACACTAGGGGACACTGAGAGACATTGGGACACTGGGCGACTTTGAGACCTGGGAGACATGGGGCACTCCCAGTGTCCCCATGTCTCCCAGCCAGTGTGTCCCTAGTTTCTCAGTATCCCCATGTCTCCCAATATCCATGTTGTCTCTCAGTGTCCATAGTGTTCCAGTGTCCGTAGTGTCTCAGTGTTTCTTAGTCTCCCAAAGTCCCCTAGAATCCCAGTGTCTGTGTCCCAATGTCTCCCAGTGTCCCCATGTCTCCTAGTGTCTCAGTGTCCCCTAGTATAAAAGAAAAACTCTAAGGCACTCACTGTGATAGATTTAAGCAGGTTTAATGGACACCGCAATGTTTCGACCTGTACCCAGGTCTTTATCAAGTCTCCAGTGTCCCGTACGTATCACAGTGTCCCCTGTGTATCAGAGTGTCTCAGTGCCCCATGTCTCCCAGTGTCCTTGGTGTGTCTCAGTGTCCTTAGTATCTCAGTGTCCCCTAGTCTCTCAGAGCCCCCTAGTCTCCTAGTTTTCCCATGTCTCACAGTGCCCCAAAGTGTCTTAGTGTCCCCTAGTATAAAATAAAAAATCTTAGGCACTCACTGTGATAGATTTAAGCAGGTTTATTCGACACCACAACGTTTTGACCTGTACCCAGGTCTTTATCAAATCTCCAGTGTCCCCTATATATCACAGTGTCCCCTATGTATCACAGTGTCTCAGTGCCCCATGTCTCCCAGTGTCCCCTTGTGTCTCACAGTCACCCAGTGTCCCCATGTCTCCCAGTTTCCCCAAGAGTCTCAGTCTCCCCAGGTCTCCCAGGGTTTCATAGTATTTCAGTGTCCCTATATCTCCCAGTGTCCCAATGTCCCCTAGTGTCCTGGGGACACTAGGGGACACTAAGGGACTGGAAGACTTGGGGACACAGACATGCCCCCTTTTTGTGTATGTTCGCCTCTTCGGCAGTTCTGGTATTGTGATTTGTGTCAGTGGCCCACCCTTTTACCCCATCCATAGACTTCCTGCTTTACTGGACACTGCTGTTAGGGGTATGGGTTTACTTGAAAGATGAAAGCATGATATTAGCATAGGGTATGTGTTTTCTCATAGCTGCATCCTATGAGTTTTCCTCCAGCACCATCTCCATCAGATACATGACGCTTAGGAGGTGGGACTGTTTTAGTGTTTTTGGTCAATAAGATTTTGTAATTAGGCCCATCATAAATGTCAGCACCAGGCTCACTGGGCTCTTAATCTGGCCCTGGCCAACAAGGGTTTTGTCACCAAGTCAAAGGGGTCAAATACTTATTTCACTCATTGACATGCAAATTAATTTATAACTTTTTTTGACGTGTTTTTTTGATTATTTTTTGGGTTATTCTGTCTCTCACTGTTAAAATACACCAACTATTAAAATTATAGACTGATCATTTCTTTGTCAGTGGGCAGATGTTCAAAATCAGCAGGGATCAAATACTTTTTTTCCTCACTGTATACATGTTCTATTTTTGTTGTTTAAGAGCTGTAGGTTGAAAAAGTAAATAGTTACTCAAAACGTTTATAATTTTTTAAAACTTTTTCCCCTCACTGTATATGTAATGAGGGCTTCACATTCAGTCTCCCTGTTTTGTTTCCCTGGTGCCAAAATCTAAAGAAAATATATCAACTCTAAAAAAGAATGCATAGAACTTCAAAATAATGATTAAAAAACTTCATTTTAAGTAGTCGTGCAACAGCATAGAGTAAACATTTTGGTTCCATTAGCAGACTTTTTTTTTCAAGGCATCAAGCTAATGGGGCTGATACGTTGACTGTCTGCTGTTGCACATCTTTGATTACAATAAAGTAGTTCTATTGTTTATTTTGAGATCCCATGAGTGCATTTATTTACGTTAGAGAAACATGTTATGTTTTAAGGTCTTTGTCCACTTGTACATTGGTACACTTTTATTTTGGGGGTGGGTGGGGGGGTACAAAACATTTCTTGCAACAAGGCTGTTTATTTGTTCTGCCATTAATCCAACAAAATAAATGGCTTTTCATCACAGAGAAGTGATGCTATTTAAAAGCTTGCTCTCAGCACTTCTAGTAGGAAAAGACATTGTCTGTTTTATCCTGTTCTGCCTCCAAACATGGGTTGGTGATAACATACCATTTATGCGCGATGTGATGAGATCCGAAGCAGAAGCATCCGTTCTGTCCCCATTTGTGCTGTTGCTTTGTTCAAGTAGTCTGTCCGTCATAGCAATAATGCAGTGTAAACTCTTCCCTACGTTGGCCCACACCCTATCCTGAAAAGAACATAAGTATCACAACTCATACACAACACATTCAATAATAAACAGATGCAATAAGTAAGATTAAATACTTTTAGAGAGTTTAAGAAAATACTACCGAGTAATGTACCTTTAAAGCAAATATGCTATTTACTAATCTCATTATTTCTTTAAATATGTTTATGTAAATAACAGATTTCCCATCATAGCTCTGAAGAGTTGTACATGGTCTGCAACAATCTTTAGGTGGCTGGTACTGGTCAAAGAAACATCCACATGAATGCCAGGATCCAAGGTTTCCCAGCAGAACACATTGTAACACATGCCTCCACCAGTATGTGGCTATTCAGACTTTAGTAAATAATCCTGACAGTGTCTTTTATCTTGCAATATTTCACACAGAGTCTGAAATATTAATATAAAAAGATTTTTTTTTCTTTTCTCACATACAGGAAGTGTGACTAAATAGATACATGAGAAGGTAAAATACATTGCAAATAGGTATTTGTAAGAACCCTGAAGGCATTAGTAACAGTACAGCTTACTGAAAATAGCAGAATGCAAAAGAATGTCTGCATTTGAACATGATGCCCACATATAGTAAATACAGTTAAATAATCATATATTTGAAAATAAAGGTGTTTAAAACTGCTATAGCAGTCTTTGTCAATCTCTTGAAATACTAAAGTAATGCTAATAGTAAAATTCTATTGTCCATTTACTCCACCTCCTTCTATAACTGTAGGCATGATATGACCCATTGAAATTTCCTGTACTGTTTGAAAGCAGGGGATGAGCTGATATTTTCACTCAGCAAATTTGCAGGCATTTTACTAGTGACCTGTGACTTCTGGTCGAGAAATGTGTTACTCCACAGTCTGGTAATCATTATTAAATAAATGTGAATAAAGCT